GGACTTAAAATAAAGACATGTGAACGCGATTTAGGTTTGGCAAAGTTCCAACCAATCAAAGATCTCGCTGTCAGTTCCCAACGAGTCTGTATCACCCTGGGTCGCTCAAAGGCTCAAGAGAGCCACGCGTTTTCTATGTGATGCGTGCATCAGGCTCAATGTGTATTCCTTAGAAGCCCTGCTGGAGGGTTGTTACTCGAAACGTTAGTTTCATTCCTTCTATTGTTTTTTTTTCATGTTCAATGAACATGCGTTCATGTTGTTATCGTTATTGAAGATGATTACTTAAAATATATCTGTAGACTTTCACGACCAATACGATGAAGAATACTTAGTTTATTTTGGGTTAGATCAATGTTTAACTATAATCCTCCACCATCCGACAGTGCCAATCAAATGACGTTGCCACGCAAGAAACGGTTTCGTTGCCTTTCACCATTCCTCCTACTTTGCTGATAAACCGAATCATTTTTGCATATTTGCCCACGTGACAACTTGCTTTGATTGGCCGTCGGATGGTGGAGGGTTATTAGTTAAACAATTGCATTATACCTACACGGGGCCCGAACCCCAAATAAACGAATTATGAAGATGATTGCGTTGCGTATATCTGTAAAATAATTTATTTTCAATAATCTCTCTACACGTACACAGTCAATAGTGTGTGTGTGATCGTGTACGTTAAATATAACCTCCAATGTAAAAGACTATTATTATTGACCATTTAATATTGTGTCGGTACGATACGTGAGGGCGGTCATCGTGTTTTTTCTATTACATGCGTTAAATACATAACTGTACAACGCACACATGTAAATTAATCATCACTACTATTATGCATACTTCATATTATTTTAAACACGCAGGAACACATATACGAATACATGGGTACAAACTCACTACAAATATCGTATGTTGATATTTCGGTAAATATCTCGAGCACAAAATATTCATTTACACATCATTCCTAACCCACTGCTAAATGAATGCCCATTGAGAGTACAGTGATAAAACGAATACAGTACTAAATTCATTACCTGCTCAGGTAATGTTTACATATTTGTACAGAATATAAATCTCTCTTTAAACTACACTTTGACAACGTCACGTAAACGTTTGTCGGGGAGCTAACAGACGAGCCAAGCCCAATTTCAGAGCAATTTACTATCAAGGATCCGCTCGGATTTGCAAGATTCAGACTGAATCTCGAAGCTACAAGAAGTCATAAACGAGCCTCTATTAATAATAATAACCACGATAATCACGATTATTATTACGTGCAGCCCCTGTGTTAATCCACCGCTGGATGGAAGCCTCCCCAACTCCGTGAGAGTTGCTTTTTTACGAATAAGAAACTTCTATTTTAGTTTTACCAGGAAAGGCCCACTGAGCTATGTAGCTCGTTTTTCAGAAGCGACCTGGCAACAAATGATAGCTCAACGAAGCGGCTTATCACGTGGACATTTATAGCGGCCAAATACTCTAAACGCGTGATGTTGATTCTAAATGTGGAAGGGGGAAAAACCCGGAGGACCTGGAGAAAAATCCACACGACCACGGGGAGAGACAGAGAGACATGGAAACTCCAAATATACAGCAGGCGTCACAGTCGGGATCGAACCCACGACCTCCTGTATACCAGGCGAGGTAGTTAACATCTCGCCATACTTCACCACGTTGGTTTAGTTCGTTCATGCGGGCTAGTGAAGTCCTGCACGACAGGTTCAGCCGTGGCCACGAATCAAAGTTTGGTGACTGGTACGCAGTGCGCTAATCACTGCACCACCGCTCCCCGCTACGCTTTATATACGTACTGGATACACTAACAATGTTATTAGTTTATTTTGCGCATACACTTGTGTACAGCATCGTTTTCGCCTATCGGTATATATATATATTAAGGTTATTTATATACAGCCAAAAGAAAATATCTCCCGTATTGCCATAGCAGACTGTTGGGGCAAGTAATTGCTAGCGAGCATCTATCAAAGCAAAATGGCACTGAAGGGGGTGGGTGGCCAGCACCACGCCCGGCCGTCTTTTGCTCCCCTAGCGGCGTGTTTACATACCACGGCAGGTACTAATTTGAGGCTGAGTCGATCTAGGGGAGGCCCAGGACAGGTTTAGTGTTGGCCGTGAGCGGGAATGGACTGCGGGTCGCCAGGTTGGTCGTGCAGCGCGCTAACCGCAACACTACCGCTCCGCACAATTAATATGTTTACACATTATTTATATACACACACACAGATATACACACACGCACAGAGACATATATTTGTGTATTACGTGCGTTTCCACACATAGAGGGTATACAGCGCTTAAAGTGAGAGTTAGAAAGGTTCACTGATGACTGATGCTGTGCTGCTTGACTTCATAGAGCATCAAACCCCTGACCCTAACAACCACCACCACCACCACAGCCACCCGTCAATCCGCAGCACGTAACCCCAGTAGCGCGCCCAGAGTCGGGAATGACGACTCGGATTCCGCAGTTGACGTCGCTCCATGCGAGTATGCACGTTGAACGTGTATGTAATTGTACTATGTTGAACTTCTTTCGCACCGTACGTAGCCAACCGTGCCCATCGGAGGTGCGTGGGGAAGGACAGCGAACTGAACACAACAAGAACGGCTCTAAAGACGAAATGAGTGGCTTGCTAATATCGGCAGGAGCAGAGCGTTCCGGACGGCTGAGGAAACGCACCTGCGCTTTACATAGCAACTAACACGACGTGTGGACATTTACAGTATACACATTTACAGTATACACATTTACAGTATACACATTTTACATTTTAAAGTTAATTTTGAGTTGGTTCATCTCAAAATGAGTTCGAACAACGTGTGTGCATTTCTGGGGTTAGATAAGTCTTACACGCGGCTCCTTTTGAGTCGGAAGCAAGTGTGCGTAGGTGAGTGTGTGCGTAGGTGAGTGAGTGTGTGTGTGTGTGCGTAGGTGAGTGTGTGCGTGTGTGTGCGTAGGTGAGTGTGTGTGTGTGCGTAGGTGAGTGTGTGTGTGCGTAGGTGAGTGTGTGCGTGTGTGTGCGTAGGTGAGTGTGTGTGTGTGTGTGTACGTAGGTGAGTGTGTGTGCGTAGGTGAGTGTGAGCGATAGTGTAGCGGTTAGCGCCCTGCGCTATGAACCTGACGACTGGTTCGATTCCCGCTCACGGCCAACACCAGTGACGATTATCTGAACCGGTCCCGGGCCTCTCCTAGGTTGACTCAGCCTCAAATGAGTACCTGGTGCGGTGTGTAAACATCGCCACTAGGGAGGCAAAGGCGGTCGGGCGTGGTGCTGGCCACCCACCCCCTCGTGTACCGATCCGGCCTTCATAGGTATTCGCTAACAGCACTTGCCCCTACAGTCTGTTAAGGCTATACGAGGGATCTTTATCTTTGTGTGCGTGTGTGTGCGTGTGTGTGCGTGTGTGTGCGTGTGTGTGCGTGTGTGTGCGTGTGTGTGTGTGCGCGTAAATGAGTGTGTAGGCGTCTACGTATGTGTGCCTGAGTGTGTACGCACACGAGTACTTGTGTGTGTACACACACGAGTGAGTATGTGAAATGTTCACGGGTGAGTGTGTGTACACACGAATGAGTGTGTGTACACACGAGAACATGTGTGAAATGCGCACGGGTGAGTGTGTGTACACACGAGTATGTGAAATGTTCACGGGTGAATGTGTGTACACACGAATGAGTGTGTGTACACACGGGTGAGTACGTGTGTGAAATGAGAGTGGATGTACACACGAGTGAGTGTGTGTACACACGAGTACACGTGTGTGAAATGTTCACGGGTGAGTGTCTACGTGCGAGTGCTTGTGAATGGCCCAGCGCGTGTGTAGTTATGAGCGACTGTGTGTTGTGAATGAGCGAGTTGGTGAGAGTGTGCATTTGTTAATGTGTGAGCACGTGTACATGCGAGTTGCGTTAGTGTAGGTCGACTCAGCCTTAAATGAGTACCTGGTGCGGTGTATAGTAACCATCGCTACTGGGGAGACAAAAGCGGTCGGGCGTGGTGCTGGCCACTCACCCCCTCGTGTGCCGTGCCGACCTTCATGGATGCTCGCTAACAGCACTTGCCTCAATGGCCTGTCAAGGCTATCCGGAGGAGCTTTGTCTTTGCATGTGTATGTCAGTCGGCGCGTGAACTTGAGTGAGGGTATTAGTCGGTACGTGTGTGTGAGAGAGAGAATGAATGATAGAAAGCAAATCCGCGATTGAGTGAGCACGCGAGAGTGTGAGAGCGTGTGTAACGCAACGACAAAAGATTCCCCCCCCCCTTATAGCCTTAACAGACTATTGGGGCAAGTGCTGTTAGCGAGCACCTATGAAGGCCGGAACGGCACACGAGGGGGTGGGTGGCCAGCACCACGCCCGACCGCCTTTGTCTCCCCAGTGGCGATGTTTACACACCGCACCAGGTACTCACACGCACAGACACACGCACAGATACACCATCGCATTTCCAAAAAAAGGCATTACGCAGTTCACCGACGACGATTGTTCACGCGAGACGCGACGGAGGCGAGGGGGTCACCTGGGATGGGACACAAACAGACGGGAGGCCGTGTTACACTTCACCGGGCGGGCAGCCCGCGTAGCGGCGGCGGCGGCATCGACTGAGAATCATCGCAACACCGCGCGTCTGAGCCCGGGCATTGTTCGTCTCCCACCGCCGCACCCACCCACTTCACGAACGAGACGCGAAAATCACCCGCGCCGCGCATGCACATCGAGCGTGGAGGACTCCAGCCAGGGCAACGGGGCCCGCGCACAGCGCGAGCACAGAACCCGTACCCCCCCCCCTCTCCAACACCCCCGCCAGCCTTCCCCCTCCTAACCTCTACCCGCAACCCTCCTCATCCTCCCAATCAACCCCTCCCACCTCGTCACCAATCCTCCCAATCAACCCCGGCCTAAACCAACAACCCTCCCTCTCCCTCCCTCCCTGCTATTAGTCCCCCCCCCGCCCCTCCCCCCAGCTCCCTCACCCGAACCCCCCGCCCCCGGGCCAATGATGGCTCCTGAAGGGCGCTTTGCTCTGCGCACTCGCGTTCGGCATCCGAGTGCGGACACCGGAGCCGGGGCGCCGCGCTCACTTCGCCCTCCTCATCCTTCTCCTCTCGCTTCGTTTGCCGCTGCTCCTTCGTCTTCTTCTTCGTCTTCTTCGTCTTCCTCCTCTGACTGATGCGCGCCTTCTCGTCGTGCGGGGCATAGATTCTCATCAGGCGCATCCGTCTCGCCCGCTGCACTTCAACGCGGCGGAGTCGCGGCGAAGAGAGGATTCGGGCTGACGGAAGACGAATTCGCAATACAACTCTCAATAGCGGCAGTCGCAGCAGCAGCAGTAGCAGCGGTTGTGGCAGTCGGCATCAGACGCGGAGCGGCCGAAGAAATCACGAGCAGGCAGGAGTCCTACCGGGTCGGCTCGCCCTTCCTGGGGTCTCGCGCGCGATTGCGCGCACACACACACAGGCAGACTCGCAGGCATAGAGACAAGACTCACGGGAAGACTCGCAGGCAAACACACAGCAGTCGGACAGTCGGGCAGACATGGACCACACGGGTGGCAACCCCGTGGTTGCACAGACGCATCACCACGGGGGCGGACATGAACCCATCAGCTTCGGAATCGACCAGATCCTCAACAGCAGCGACCAGGGCGGCTACCTGATGGCCGGAGGTCGCCTCTCCGACTCGGACTACCACCTCCAAGGCAGCGGGGCTTACAGCGCCTGTATGGGGCCTCCCTACAACGGCTACGGCGGAGGAGGAGGCGGAGGAGGCGGCGGCGGCGGCGGCGGGATCTCGGGGAGCTGCGGAGGCGCCGGTGCGGGCGGAGGAGCAGGCGGGGGAGTGCCTCCCTGCGGCGGCGTGCCCACGTTCACGGGATCCTACAATGTCAACATGAGCATGAATGTGAACATGGCGGCAGCGGCGGCTGCGGCGGCCGCGGCCGCGGCTGCCGGCGGCCCTCACGGCTGCTCGGGCGGTGGTGCCGGGATGATGGGGCCCGGCGGGGTGATCCGCGTGCCCGCGCACAGACCCATGCCACCCCCCGGGGTGCACGGACCCTCGATGGGCGCGGGCATGGCCCCCGTGCCGGGGGTGACTCCCATGAACAACATGAGCATGAGCAATCTGAACGCGATGAGTTTCCCGTGGATGGAGAGCAGCAGGCGCTTCGCCAAGGACAGGCTAACAGGTGACTTGCCAGCGGAGTTGCTAAAGCGCCTACGTGCCGGGCAGCGCAGTAAACCTTCATCCTTATCAGCATGATCTGCATCATCATCATCATCATAGTTAGAGCAGTGCATCTGTACATGCCACCATGTTTTATTTGTAATGGTTCTTTTGTTTTGAAAGGCAAGGCAGACGTTTTGAGGCTGGGTGGTTGTGTGAGATGAACGCGCGTGAGTGTTTGTGAGAGCTGTGTGTGCATGCGTGACATAAATTTGCATTCAGTGTAATTGGCTACGTACACTGTTGATTGGTAACATTCACACTAATGCACTCGGGTAGAGGCCTCACCACTGAGTCTCAAGAAACCCAACGTAAGCAGCGTCATGACGTAAGTTTAGTCCTCATGAATGTATCATTTAATTAGAATATTATCGAATTTTATAGGTGTCTTCCACGCTTAATTAACGCGTGTTATGCAAATCGTGTTCATTGATGAGTTCCAATCCACGAGCCCGAACAACGAGTTGCTCGGACGGGCTTTACGCAAATGCGTTAATTTGTATTTACCCAACAGATAAATACATTGCACGGGATTATCCCAGGTACCGTACAAGGTGGATCTTAAGATCACGCAGAAGCGTAAATTATAGAGCGACTTAATAACGAGCCGCTCGCTATATTAATACGGAGCGGTGTAGCCCGCGCATCGTAAAATAAAATCCATGCATTTTTAATGACGATGAATATAACCCTTGGACGCGGACATATGTTTGTATCTACGCGAGCTTCATTGATATGAGCATTGCGCGTAATGCAATGTTAGATTTTTGCGTGCAATTCTTGTTAACCACTTCATTATAGGGCCCTAGTATTTAGCGCGACCGGCGTGGTGAAGTATGGTCAAATACACATCACAAACCCAACGTGGTAAAGTATGGTCAATTAAACCCGACTGTCGATTGCCGAAGGGCTGTGCATATAAACACCATAGATGCAGCGGCTGCAATGTAATACGTTTATTGTGCAAGGTGTAAATAGTTAAATGCAAAACGGAATAATGCGTCGAAGGCATTCCACCAGGCACACATTACGCGCAATGTTATAGAAAACAGGATTTTTTTATTTGGTTAATAAATCACTGCGTAATGCCGAGTAACCCACAAAATTATTATTCTTATGTTGTATTGCCACAATGTTCTTATTAATTTTGGAAAATGCACGTGAACTCGAACGAGTGGGAATACTCAGTCTGCACCACGCGTACCAACACAAATGCATATCTCTTGCTCAACACGTGACCCGTGAAGGTGCCCGTGTCGTACTAACTAACTACAGTACTAACGAATATTTGTTTTATCTAGCTGAACTCGATGGCTTTTTTTTCAGAAGCGATCTGTGCACAAATAATACAACTATGTACACAGCTGACGTTCACTGTGGCTACATTGTACACGGCACCTAACATGCACGTTACTTTTGAAAAGTAGTCTGCATATACACAATCATCACACGCAAAGACAAAGATCCCCCGTATAGCCTTCACATACTGTTGGGGCAAGTGCTGTTAGCGAGCACCTATAAAGGCGGACACTGCATATGCGGAGGTGGATGGCCAGCACCAAGCTCGGCCGTCTTTGTCTCCCTAGTGGCGGTGTTACACACCGCACGAGGTACTCATTTGAGGAGTCGACGACCCACACAGAGCATCATCATCATCAGCCATGGGTCAATCCAATACTGGATGAAAGCCTCACCAAAGCCGTCGCCACGGCTCACGATGCTGTGATGTAACAAAGACAAAGTTCCCCTGTGTAGCCCACACAAGCTTACGGGGCAAGTACGGTTAGTGAGTACGTGTATCAGCGCCTGTGAAGGCCGGCACGGCGCACGAGGGGGTGGTGAGGTTATCAGTACCCCCCCCCCCCCCCCCCACCACGCGCCAATACAAGTTCGATACAATTGTTAAGTATTCCAATGAATACATTCCACTACTATTGACAGCAGTATGATACACAGCTTTTTAATGGTAGGCATGTATATATATACAATGCGTGTATACTATGTATATATATACACAAAGACTCCCCACTATAGCATCAACAGCCTAGGAGCAAGAGCATCTATGAAGGCCGGGACAGCACACGAGGGGGTAGATGGCCAGCACCACGTCAGGCCGCCTTTGTCTCCCCAGTGGTGATGTTTTACTACACTCACCGCACCATAGCACACACCTGCCAGAATTTAGGCCCAAAACGATTTACAATCTTCACTTGGACGTTTAATAGCATCGCTTGCTGTCTGCAGTCGTTTATTCCGTGTTTATTAATTATTATTAAGGCCGCTCGCCACGGCACTTTTGCGCTCACCTCTATTTAGAACGGTTGGCTACGAACGGTGCGAAAGAAGTTCAACAAATTCTAGATTTGAAGCTTTCGTGACTGCAACGATCCATACTCTTTGGTTCTATTCGGTAAAGTCACGTAGGTAAAAAAATATATTTTAGAATAGAACCAAAGAGTAAGTTCAACAAAACATACGTAAACCTTAGACCAATTAATACTGCTCACGTTCAACCTATTATCGGGCACTCGAGGGGCATATTATTTTATTTCCCCGTAACGTAAGGGAGAGGAGGCAATCGCTTAATCATTGGCCCGCGTATCGGCTCGTCTCGGCCCCCCTGGTACACCTTGTGCCGTCGGCAGCATACGCAAGCAGTGTGGCGCATCCATGCGACGAAGGCGACACCAACGGGGGCTGTGATGCGCACGAGAATAACAACTCGCGTTTTGTAATTTAGCAAAGGAGAGCGCATATTGATGCGGGGATGCGGCCTATGTAATAACTATGGCGCGCAATGAAATCGATGCTGCTTTTAACATTTAGAGAGGTTGCCTTTAATTTAAACAAAAATGTAAACTGCACAGGAATGTTTTTTTACACGATGGGATTTATGTGTGTGGTGGTGGTGGTGTATAGGTACTCGCTTGCAGCACTTGCCCCAAATAGTATGTTGAGGCTGTACGGGGAATCTTTTTCTTAGGTATGGAGAGCGGTTATTGTGCTGCGTTACGAACCCCGGCGACTAGAGTTCGATTCCTACTCACGGCCAACACCAATAATGATTATCTGGACCTGTCCTGGGCCTCCCCTAACTCGACTCGGCCTAAAATGACTACCTGGTGCGGTGTGTGAAACATAAGCATTGGGGAGACAAAGGCGGCCGTGCATGGTGCTGGCCACCTACCCCCTCGCGTGCGGAGCTGGCCTTCAGAGGTGCTCGCTGACAACTTTTGCACCAAAGCTCTGTTAAGGCAACACGGAGGATCTTTGTGCATTGCTATTTACGTTTGAACTAAACAGCCAGGCCTTCTAATGTGTAAAGTCTGTGTGTGTGCGCGTGTCTGTGCAATTGGCACAACGTACACAGGGGTACCACTGGGCTAGGATTTTGTGTGTACATGTAATGAAAGGGGCAGCTAAAGTCAACCTAGCCAAGTCGTAGTCATGATACATACATTTATTGCATATGCATTTACACACAACCAGTTGCAGGCTTGGCCCACTTTTCCATCATACTCCACTTCAGGCGAATTGCTTGGCACGCTGACCGTGGCGGTGGTTGGTGTGTATTAGTAAGCGTTTAGCATGCGAGCCTTGACGCAATGTAGAACTGCAGACTCATCCCTGGCGCTACGAGTGTAACAAATCAATCTCCCGATGGAAACATATTAGAGGCGCAGAATAAAAAGAAAACAATGATTTTACGATGTTTCATCCCTCCGCCCCCGTCCTCGTTCCGAGCGCGTACAACTCCACAACACATTCTTGCCGAACGACAAACGTATAACCCCTTCTCGAACGTCACTATAATTTAAATGGGTCACCTCGCCCGTCAGTCACGGCCATCAACTGGGCATTATGTAACCTCAACACGGGCAGCGGCAGCAGCAGCGGAGGCAGCGTTCGGCTGTCCACGACGCGCGCGCGGCAACCCCCACGACTCGACGTTTCGCACGCGTTCGACAGCAGGCGCAAACGAAGTTTTGCCGTTCTCGGTCATTGCTGCGCCTCGGTCGCTCGTCCAGACGCGCTGCGTGCAAACACGTTCGTGTGACAGTTAATTAATAAATTGACCGACAATTATCCGGCGCCGCGTGAACAACAAACATCCCTGGTCCGGTGTGCGCGTGGCCCTACGCCTGCAGTTTCTATCGCGCTTTAACCGTCGCTGCTCAACGATTCCACGACGCTTACCGCGTGAATGAATCCCCTCTCGTTTCGCCGGTAACCCCCACCCCAACCCTTTCACGGCCTTATCTTTTGTCCTGCTTCTCCTGGTCCCAACCCCTACGTCCTTCGAACGTCCTTCCACGGTCCTCTCCACATCTTTCCCCGGTCCTTCCTCCGTCCTTCCTTTGTTCTTCCTCGCGCCCCCCCCACCCCCGCGCCGCGCTAATTGCCGAGACGTAAACCACCTCGGCGCTTCTCCTCCGCGCGCGAACAGGACACCTCCATAACCCGACGTCCTCTCCCTTCTCTCTCCTGCTCACCACCACCCCCCCCCCCACCCCCCCCCCCCTTCTCAACGGACCACCACGACAGCCGCCCTGGCTCCCTTCACCGTCCAGCGGCGCATCGGCCACCCGTACCAGAACCGCACGCCGCCCAAGCGCAAGAAGCCCCGCACGTCCTTCACCCGGCTGCAGATCTGCGAGCTGGAGAAGCGCTTCCACCGCCAGAAGTACCTCGCGTCCGCGGAGCGCGCAGCCCTCGCCAAGGCGCTCAAGATGACGGACGCCCAAGTCAAGACGTGGTTCCAGAACCGGCGCACCAAGTGGAGGTGAGGTGGCGTGTTTGTGTGTGTGTGTGTGTGTGCGTGCGTGCGTGCTATAGCCGGGGGGACTATAGGGGAGGTTTCTCGCGGGACTACAGCCGGAACAACAGCCGGGGGGCTACAGCCGTGGTTTCAGGGTTGAGTGATGGAGGCTAGCGCTGCGGGTCTCGGCTGTAGTGGTGCGGACGGGTACGGGCTTCCCCCAAAGTGCAGTCAGACCACGGTCCGAATTCCCACCTTGATCGGTCGTCATTGAAATACCTTCAATTGGTCACGTGTGTGCACGCGCCTGATGATTGCTACACGCGTTCCACGTGACGTCGAGGGCGGGCGGGCGTTCATTCAAGTTGAGTTGTAAATATTGTACGCGTGTTTACATGCGTGTGCATGTGTCTCGTCCGTTGTGACGGAGAGAGTGCGGATTCAAATAACGATAGAGAGATCGTGTGTGTGTGTGTACAGTGTACATGTCTTTGTGCACGTGTGTGTACATGTCTTGTGCACGTGTGTGTACGTGTCTTTGTGCACGTGTGTGTACATGTCTTTGTGCACGTGTGTGTACATGTACCGCGCCGGTCTCTCCATAGGTGCTACTCGCTAACAGCACCTGCCCCAACAGTCTGTTAAAGCTACACGGGGGATCTTTGTCTTTGTACACGTGTAGCCCACCTGACGTGAAGAGCGTTACTGCAAATTAATAAGCAGCCCCCCGCCCCCCCCCCCCCAGCTCTTACCTCTACACGAGAGATGTGTTTACCAATCATCAGGCGCGTGCAGCGTGTAACGGCTTAGATTTGCATTCGAACGGAGAACATTGATAAACGTGGTAAGGCGGACCGTGGTGGGTGGCGAGCACCAGTCTACGTACACGAGTTGGCCAGTCGGCACTCGAAAACTCCGACAAACCCGGGCGTGGACCTCCCCTCGGTGAACTCGGTTGAAAATCATATCCCGCTGTCGCATTGGAAATAAAAATTGTTTTTAAAAAACCCAAAAAGGGCGTGTGGACTGCTGGCTCCAGACGCTTCCCTCCAGTTCATTGGCAGCGCTAAATAGGCGCTCCCCAACGACACGTAGCCACAACAGCTTGTTCAGCCTAAAAAAAGGGGGGAGCCTTTGTGTGTCCGCTTTTTAACGCGAGTGATTTTGTCGCGCGCGAGTCTCTGATGAAGTGGAAGTATTGAAGGCGATGTCCATTCAGGATCGCGCGCGCGCGTGTATGTATGTGTTCGCACGTGTATTTTTGACCGTGATATGTTGAGACTATGAATTCTGAATCTGATTTAGGCGGAGACAGACATGTATGTTGATCTGAAGGCGTGTCTGTGTATGTATCTGCGTGTGTGTGTGTATATATGTGTGGCCGTGTATGTGGGTGTGTGGTACATTGAGACGCGCGCGCTCAGGTGGACTTTGACAACAATGCCTCTGCGATGTTGGATTCGATTGTGGGGGAGGATAGGGAGAGAGAGGGGGGCAGTAGATTACATGCGGCATGATATTTCCCGCACCTCCGATGAGCACGGTTGGCTACGTACGGAGCGAAATAAGTTCAACATACACACGTCCACATTTCTGTGAAGCTCTCTGCGTGTGCGCGTCCCCATGACCACACACACTTCAATCAACTCCCACCACCCTTCTCTCTCGTTGTTCCATGAAAGCATTATCTTTAACGCACAAAGCTGCAACGTGGAGGAGACCAGAAGACTCCGTTCCCATGCCGTAGCCGAACGTCATCGGAGAATTCCACGCAGACCCGCGTGTTTACCGCTCGTGTGGCCACGAGCAAACACGGGGGGGGAGGGGGGAGGGGTTCATGCCCGAGAGTCGCCATCCATGCCGCGTGAACCGTCGGCTATTGGTGATATGATGTCTACCGGATATCTGTGAAAGAACTAGCCTTGCAGCTAACGGATTCCTCCAGTAAAAGTCGATATTCCGACTCTGATATTCGTGACGGTCGTTCGTTTGAGTCGAGGTTTGCGATGACGACGCTTCTTCATTCAATCAATCTTCGGGGAATTTTATAAATAGTAGCAGCCAACACCGAGAATTGCTTATTTATATTTGCCGAAGGGGGTTCGCTGTTGACGTGGCATTATTGCTGGAACCAATCAAGATCCGATCCGAATTCGAAAAATTAGCGATTTAATGTTTTTTTTGTCTAGTTATAAGCAGAGGCAAAATATGCTTTGATCTAATGTTACGATTTCTAGCACATCAGCCGCTCAGTCAGATCGTCTATAGAGCATTAAATAATACGCAACAATGAATGCAGGCGTCGAGTGAATTGAGAGCACCACACAAAGACAAATATCCCCCACACAGCATTGAACAGATTTTTGGGGAAAGTGCTGTTAGCCATCACCTATTGAGACCGTTTTCCACGCCCGCCATCTCTTTAGATTGTCACATCCGGTGCTTATTTGAGGCCGAGTCGACCTTGTGTAGGCCCCCGAACCGGTTCATATAATCGTCACTGATGTTGGTGGCCTTGAGCGCCACCGCTCCCCACTATATATATATAACAAAAACAAAGATCCCCCGTATAGCCTTAATCGACTGTTGGGGAAAGTGCAGTTAGCGAGCACCGTTAAATACCGGCACGGCACACGAGGAGGTGGGTGGCCAACACCACGCCCATCCGCCTTTTGTCTCCCCAGTAGCGATGTTTACACGCCACACCAGGTACTCATTTGAGGCTGAGTCGACCTAGGGGGAGGCCCATGACCGGTTCAGAAAATCGTCACTGGGTGTTGGTAGCCGTGAGCGGGAATCGAACTCGGGTCGCCGTGTTCGTAGAGCAGTGCGCTATCCGCTACACGACCGCTCCCCCACAATTAATATTGCACAAACACACGTAGGTTACACACACCATACGTATAGATACATCGACACGTTTAAGCACGTAAAAAACAGGTACACAGGCATGCACACAAACACATTTACACAGATAAGCACATGCATACACATGCGTGTTAAGAAACGTCGTACGAACGTCGCGATGTTTGCTCGGCTCCGTTACCACGTCTGTGTGGGGAGCGGTAGTGTAGCGGTTAATGAGCTGCTGTGCTACGAACCTGGCGAGCCGGGTTCGATTCCCGCTCACGGCCAACACCGGTGAAGATTATCTGAACCGGTCATGGGCCTCCCCTAGGTCGACACAGCCCTTAAACGAGTTACCTGGTGCGGTGTGTAGTGAACATCGCCACTGGGGAGACAAAGGCGGTCGGGGCGTGGTGCTGGCCACCTACCCCCATCGCGTGTCGTGACCGCCCTTCATAGGTGCTCTCTAACAGCACTTGCCCCAACAGGCTGTTACAGGCCACACGGGGGGAATATTTGTCTTTGTGTGTGCGTGTACGCGCCCCGGCTGCGTTGCGCGCTGCGCGCTGTTTATTCGCGGTTGCTCCGTTTAATGGGGAATCGAATCCCGCTTCGTGAAACAGCCCGCAGCGTCGCGTCAATGATCTAAATGACCTCTCGCCTCTGATGAGATCATTGTTGTGTCAAGTGCGTGGCGATTCCCCCCCCCCTTCCGCCTCCTCCTCAAACACCACGCTACCGTTTTTGGCGCAGGTGTTTATATGGTTTATTTATTTTCCTGGGCTAGGGCAGGGTTGATGGCGTTTGTTGAAGGCGTGAGCGGCGTTTGTGTTTCTATTGATTGATTCTCTAATTAAGAGGTGGAGGGAAGTTGTGTTGCGCACGGTGTTGGAAAGAACCCTGCCGCATTAGAGCGGTGGTGGTGGTGGTGGCGGTGCGTGCGGGTGTGCGTGCGTAAGATAGCGTGAAGAGGTCGTGTGAAGAGGTCGTGTAGCGATAAGTGCGCTGTGCTACAACCACGGCGACCCGAGTTCGATTCCCGCTTCACGGCCAACACCTATTGACGATTATCTGCACCAGTCCTGGGCGTCCCCTAGGTCGACTCGGCCTCAAATGAGTAACCTGGTGCGTGGTAGGAACATCGCCACTGGGGAGACAAAGGCGGCCGGGCGAGGTTCAGGCCACCTTCATAGGTGCTCGCCAACAGCACTGGCGCCAATAGTCTGTTAAGGCTACACGGGGGATCTTTGTCATTGTTGGTGCGTGAGATTTGAGAATGGGTTGGAGTAAAGGTCGTGTTCTAGCAGATACACTTTCGTCTGGCGTCATACACGATTTTTCACGGTTGGCTACGTACGGTGCGATAGAAGTTCAACATACATCCATACATACAAGAGAACAATGTGATTTACACCTTGAGTGTTTTTATTATTGTATGTTTTCATCCGAAAGGGAAACAATACGGAAAAAGTGTAATCGAACCATACAATTACGTATATATATATTTTTTTAGACAGACGGATTACCTGCAGCAGAAGACATGCACAGACATATTCATATACACATACGGAGGGTGATGCAGATATTTTATTCGAGGTATAATTACTAAAAATATATAACCAAGCTAATCTTTCATGCTTGGTGAACGCGAGTTGATTCAAAATTGACTAAATTACACGGTGAGCTCGCGTGGCAAAGTTTGCGACCAATATTTAAATCAATTAAACACTTTTTTTGTTAATTGTACCTTAATATTTGTGCATGCCTTTCACATTGCCGTGACCGTTTTGTTGACCTACCTTGTATGGTATACACCCGACACACGAGTATCCGTGTACTAGCGGCAGGAGGAACAATGTTGAAAGAAGGGGCAGAGGTGTGGTGAGATTGTCTTGTGGTTGCGTTTGGCGAGCAGTTATTTTTACTGCCGTATTACTTAGTAGTGTATAATTGTTTATTTAGTTTAACACGTAGGCTTTCGCGACCAATATTATTCATAATAAAGGTTTTTGGGTTAGATCGCGTTATATACATTACAACTAAATTCTAATCTACAACTCATTACTAATCATAACCATTGACTGATTACCAATCGATTATATAATTACAATATCCCCCCCTCTCCGCCTCAAATCACTGCACCTGAAATGAGTTAAATGATGACGTCACCCTGCTGC